GTAAGCATGATAATACTTGCATACCAATATGCAGTGATTGTTTTGTGGCGTAACACATTGGAACGGAGTTCCGGTAACTTTTTTACGTTATTTTTAATGTTTCAAAAACAAATGAGAGAAAATATAGTGTTCTTATGAACCGGACAAAATTTGAATTGATTATATATATGTATTTAATGAGTAAGTGTATAAATTGGTATTTATATACCTACTAGTTTTAATAATAAAAAAGTTTGAACATTAACCTTAACATTTTTGTTAAAATCAGAGATAAATTAGAGGATCGTTTTAATCGACTCTTACAATTAATTATTTCTTTCGTGGGAATCATACATCGACTCAACTTTGAAATCGTGTTTATAAAAGAGTACAGAGATACTTATATATACTATATTGAACGGTGAATATCAATTTAAACATTCCTCTAGAAGATAATTTGGGACACGCGCGACAATGCGCAAGGAAACTACTTTGAGCAACGTTTACAAGCGTTTAAGAGCAACGGTTCAATTAGTTCCGGTAGAAGCAGCTAGCATGCGAACGCGGAACGCACATAAGTGGTTGCCCGAGAGCGGGTGGTGAGTATCAGAAAGAATGAGAAAGAGAGAGAGAGAGAGAGCTTAAACACAGTGTCCTTTGTACTCTGAAATTAAGTGATTCACGATCCGGAGACAAATTGTGCCAGGACTTATGAGTACACGTCTATAATTTTCGGTGCGGCATAATAATTTGCATTTTTATGAGCGATAAACGCGTTTAAAGTACGAACGCATTCACGCGCGCGCATCTAGTTTTATAAAAAAAAAGAGAGAGAGGAAGATCGATTATCATACCCTTGTAATCCATCGTTATTATCGAACATGATTCTTTAACGAGTTTATTTTCATGTGTTTCTTCACTAATAATGTAAAAATAAATTCATTAAAAATAACAAAGTATAATACGCATTTCAATATAACAGCAATGCGAAGAACAAATGAAATCGTGTCTGCTGTTCCCGATCGATTCGATAAAAGGTTAGAGACTGACGTATATATATATATATATGTAATTCGCGAGAGAACCACGTGCTGTGGACGTCGCGAAAGGGGCAGAGTCGTTGTATTGATAATCAACCAAACGCCCGCTGGTCGTCGTAAATAAGATCGAATAGTGATTTCGAACGCGTAGTATTAAATTATGATAAGTAATCATCGTGAAGTAACATAAACCGTACAAAAGTCTCTACCCATATATCCACAGAAAAATATTTTTCTGCAAAGAAAATTCTTAACATTTATTAATCTTCTATAGACTGAATTTTTATATAACTTGTAACCAATAAACATTAATCTTTAATTGTAAATATATAAATAAACAGTATATTGACAATTTTCGAAATGACTTCATTTATTCTGATTTCCTATTGTATATTTTGGATGAAAAGATACATTTAAATAGAAAAACATCTGGATATAGATATGTAAATTCATATCTATGTCCATTGTTAAACAAAAGAAATATTAGTATAACTTATTCATATTATAAATCGTAAAAAAATTGTGTAACTGTCGAAAGAATAATATATCACGTATGGTAAAATATGGGACGTTTTAAAAAAAATCTATTATATTGTCAAGCTAGAAATGACACGATAAGATATATATTAATTTACATTTTTATTTAATATTATATAAATACGTATCTCTCTCTCTCTCTCTCTCTCACACACACATATATTATTATGTAAAACATTAACATTCATTTACATTTTACATTCGAATAAATTTGCGTATTCAAATATTCGGCTAGTTGATAATCATACGCGTATCGCATAGAAAATAATAGACAACTGAACATGAGTTATTCCTTCGCGAATACAAGTGTCAGTAGTAGATAGTAGAGCAGAAAAGAAACCTGAATAGTGCATCGGATGGATGGATCGTCATGAGATAGCATGAAGAACCAAGCGATCGAGGAAGGAACGTAACTTTAAGGAAAAACTTATGCGCGCTCGCGCGCACACGTACTTCTGCATCGTTGCGTTCGAACGTGTCGGAAGTCGCGTTTCCATAAAAGCGTTCAACATCATTTCTAAAAATACATGTACGCAATTACGGAGATGGTTTAAACGGCGGAACGAAGCAGCGTCGCTTTTCAATCTGTATAGTGATCCTTAATACATGATACATATAACCAAAGTAACAACATAGACAACACGTAAGATGAGAAACTATATCAGTGATAGTAAGGATAACGACAAATCGATATTTGGATTCTGATCGATCGCAACCATTTTAAAAATCGATAAGCGATTCCAATGAAAATCGATATAATCTTTGACTTTCTTGTTGTTTTGAGATAATGTTTGTAGATAATACTCCCGTCTATCTTGTTTATTGAAAAAAGAATGCTCGTTGGGAGAAAAGAATTTGTTAACTCTATACAATGGATTCGTATTAATTCAATAATTTCGTTAAGCGTTAATTCATTATCTCATGTATATATTATAAAATTTTATATCATTATTTGTGAAATCGATCACACACACGTTTTGATGTCATGTCATCGCAACAATTAGGAAAAGATAAAATTTATAATCTACGATATAGACCAAACTACGATAAATCAGAGACGCCTCTGAAAAAAATAATATAATTTTTTAAGTTTAAATAAAAAATGAAAAATTAATTGATGAAGTATTATGTTGGAAACTTTTCAGGTAAATATCGAATAAATTTATCATGGCTCGCAATAGTATATACGATTTTTTACGAGTTATTTTCAATTAATTATTAATAAGCAACCACCAATTATAATTTTATACTTTTATGACACCGCAAAAGCATGTTAGATAGTGTACTTACAATTAGCCACCTAAATGTTGGGCCTACTTGAAAAAATTCCAAAGGAAAGATGCAGAAAGAGAAAGAAAAAGAGAAAGAGAGAGAAAGAGAGAGAGAGAGAGGAGGAGGCTAATTAAACTGATAACTAATTAAAGAGTAATAGCGATACTTAAGCAACGGACATTAACTTGGTGGGGTACCAGCATAAGAAGAGTCTTCGGTAAAAAGTATAACGATTGACGAATCTATACAGCTTCGTTATCTTTGTAAGCAGGTTCCATAAGATCGGATCGATCGATTTTCAACTTCTTTGAAAGAATACTAATGACTTTCAATGTACAACATCGTTCGAGCGTAAAGTTATATCTACTAGCAAGTACTTAAATACATACGTAGCAACTATATCATTCATATAAATATACTACTTTCAGTGAAATCGCAATGTAATCTCGACGACACTTTGAAAAATAAAATGAAAATATGAAATAAAAATGAACGATAAAAAAAAAAAGATCGTCATCGACGTTTCACAAATCGCTTTTTGATCTAAGAAGCGACTTTCAAGCTTATACGCTTCCTATTCGTTCACATTCTCACGCACTCCCGCCAATTAACCGGTCGGGGAGCAACGTTTCCCCTGATATTTTTATTTTATTTTCACAGAAGTAATAGGACTAAGGAGATAGAATGTAGGAAAAGACGTAAATACTCGTAAATAGTTACCGATATACCCTCGTTCTCGATCTAACTCCTTTTGCAACTAACACAACTCGAACTAACGTCCATTTCGAGTTGAAGAAATTGCCTTCTTTTCATGGACGGTCTTATTGAGAGTTTTACTGTTTGCTTACTTCTAAGCCGTGCGAATTTCCTCAAGAAGTCGATGAATCGTTAAGAGTTCACTTGCGTTTAATTGACCCATTAGATCCCGTTATTTCCACGAGTCGAACATTTTAATGTAAATGCGATACGAGTTGCATTAATGTAGTTGAAAAAAAAAACAAATTTCAAAGTACCGCTCGTATAATATACCTTAATGAATTAAATATAAATTAAGGAAAATGTATAATAGATATTAAATAATTATTTTGAGAATAATTATTTTAATGGCGACAAAAAATATGACGTGACGTAAAAAATGCAAACATAAAATAAAAAATACGTGCAAACCTAATCGTCGAGATCGAACTTTAATAAGAAAAGAAAATCATTTTAAGATATAGATCCATGGATGTATCATTTTCTTTTATTTTTTTTTCCTATTTTTTTTTTTTTAGAAAAGATACGCAGTAGTTCATTCTCGTTTTTTCTTTTTCTAAATAGAAAAAAAGATTTCAGATTCAAGTTGAGTTCTAGTTCTCCGTTGGCGGTGACGCGAGGAGCATAGACATTCGCGCCTTTCCAAGGAGCAGCTCCCCTCGCTGCTTCTCTTGGCTCAAACCTCTCTGAAGCTCTGGAGCCGTAGTAAGCGGGTATACATACTGTCGTGGCTCGTCACGCGGGAAAAAGAGAAAGAGAAATAGAAAAGAGAAAGAGAGAAAGATCTCATGGGGCTGTGTTCGTCCCGGCACGGTGGCGCCCGCAGGGCGCCGTCGCGCGCTCTTCCCCCACTTTATCGACCTGACGCCAGGCCCGCATTGGTACGTGGAGAGCTTAGGCTCACAATCCTAACATATTCCTTTTTTTTTTTTTTTTTATACAGTTTCTCATTTCAAATCTACTCCGACTACGTTCAACTATCAAAGGAATCGGGAGAACAAGAGAAAAGAGAAAGAAGAGACGATAAAGAGAGGACAAAATTAATAGATATTTCAATTGTGTGATACTCTCCATCGGATTAGAAATAAAACGTACATATCCGCAGGCGTATGATACACATATACATTCGTGTGGAGTAATAGGATTCATAATAGGCAAAATGTCGAGGAGTGCATACGTATGTATGTTTCTCTCTTCTTCGAAGAATTACCAACAGCTCGACACGACTCGAATCGAAGCTCGGCCGCGAATCCGCGAGTAGTATCTGCGCGAAACCCTAACGTTTCGCGTCTTTTTCTCTCTCTTTCTCTCATTCAATCTTTACGAAGATGAACGAAATCGCACGAAGCGGTATCCCCCTCCACCAAAAGTTAAGCGTTCGGCGCTGTCTCAACGAATGGAAACGAAACTAGCCGAGTTTAATCGAAGCATCCGTAGCCTGCGCCTTGCGAGTTGACGCCGAGCAGACTACGTCACAGTGAAGTATGTGCTCTCGAGTGTAGAAAATGGCTGAGCTCTCCGCTACCCCGGGTCGGCGCGGATGTAAATACGGCCTATGCCTCGGCTTAGGATTGTTTATCGCGAGATTTATCGGTGGTGAGTAAATAAATACGTAAACCCAATTAAAACTAACGATTATTATTATTACAAATTGATTCTCCCGATCGAGAAAAATTAGTGCGAGTTATCGTGCTAAATTGTAGACGAGGAGAGGAATCGATCGGAGGATATGCAGAGGGACCTGTGCGCGAGAACGATTGCTGTCGTTCGCCTTCTGCCACACATATGTGTGGAACACTCTCTCGCACTCTCTTTTCCTTTCATTCACACAACACACACACACACACACACACATAATAATATCCGTCCCCCCTCTCTCTCTCTCTGTTTTTCTTTTTTTCTTTCCCTTTTTCTAATAAGAAAATATTACATCCCTCATTTCTTCCCTTTGTCCCTTGTAGAGTGGTTGCATAGTGCGGAGAAAAATAATCCCTCTTACTCTTCTCCTTCCCTTCTCTCCCCAACCTTCTTCCTCTTTTTTTTCTTCTTCTTCTTCTCCTCCTCCTCCCTCCTCCAATTTTCGAGAGATCGTCGTCCGGCGCGCCCTCGATCCTTCCTTCTTTTCCTCCACCTAGCTTTTTGCTCCGATTTCGAAGACGTCTCGAGGACGGAACAAGACGAGTGTGACCCCCCCCCCTCTCCTCTCTCTCTCTCACTCTCTCTCTCTTTTTCTCTCTCTGTCTGTCTGTCTGTCTTTCCCTCTCCCTCTTTTCTCATCGTCTCTCATTTCCATTGCAAGAGATCTCTCCCTTCGCAACGCGCGTTTTCCCATCTCTCCGTTTCTCTCTCTCTTTTCTCTCTCTTCTCTTCTCTTCTCCTCTCTCTCACTCTCTCTCTCTCCGAGCCTTTCCGATACACGCTGAAAATAGTGTATAACGTCTCTCCTACGTGTACGTGCCGATCTCCTCGAACTTCGTCTTATCCACTAAGATAATACACTTCTCTCGCTTTCTCTCCGCAAACGTACGCACGTTTTTAACCCTCGAGAGAAAGAGAAAAAGAGAGAGAATGATTAGATGCAGAGGTTAGGGACTGAAATACCAACAGTTCTAGAGATTCCCGACGCCACCACGAAAACTCGTCGTATTACTTTCTCAGAAGATTCTTTTCTATCCTTATCCCCCTTACTCTTTCTTTCTTTTTTTCCTGAGTTTTTCCTCACGCAGGATATACATTAAACATTTTTATAACAATCTCGTTAACGCAAATATGATTTAATCAATCTTATTTGTAGAATTTAGCTCATTGGATAAGATCGATTTGTTACATGAAAACTGTGTAATAGTAAGATATTGTAAAGACACGCTTTGATAGCATATTATTCTTCCTTTCTCTTCGTTCTCTCTCTCTCTCTCTCTTGCTCTTGCTCTTGCTCTTTTCATTATAGCGCGTCTCGCGAATATCGCAACATCCTGTTTCGATGATTCCTGCAGTAACCTCAATGACGTTCTAAAAACGTCATACTGCCCGTTCGCTACTTTCTTCCGGTCCATCGTGAGTCCGTTAATTACACGTCTTTTTCTCGGCTTATATGCTAATCGACTTGTTTTTTAAATGACAGTGAATATAGCCCGTTAACAGTAATAGAATTTCTCGTTATCTTATGTTCGCGTTCTTCTTCTTTCGTAAATATCATTAAACTAAAAGGCTTTTTATTTTGTTGTTTTTCTTATCGATAAATTCGCTTATAAAATGAACGTTTCTTAACTGCGAAGATTTCAATTGAGGATCATCCCAAATCGATATTATTCAATTTGTATACACAATTTTTGTAATTATTTTATTAAATATTAATGAAGATCAGAAATCAGGGCTTTTCATTGTTAATCCTGAATTTTTCTAACTATATTATACAAATATTACAATTATTATAAAGGTATAAGGTTAATTAACTATTTCATATTTTTCAAAGAAAAAAATCTATAAGAATAGATCTGTAGATTGTTCATAATCAATAAAATGAATTAGATCTTCTCTGCGATCTCCAGGACACGCGAGAATCACATCCTTCTCGATATCCTGTTAAACGATGAAAGATTATCAGATAACCGCCATTCGATCTTTCCTCGACACGCTTTTGTATTTATTTATCATCTTATCATCGTATTTGAATTTTTTTTCAAATTAATATGAAAGAAGTCGATGATATATTAAATATCGATTTATACCAAAACATATCGAATGTTTTATCATTAAAGCTCGTAATTGATTGCTTATTCAAATAAAATAAAAGGGATTAAAAAAAAACTTCCGTTAGATAGCATTGAACAAAAAAAAAACTAAAAAGGAAAATATTTCAAATCTAAAGAATCGTGAAATAAGGATATTATACTGGATTCTGATTCGATCGTACTCTAATGTAAATGTATAAGTATTGACCAATCGCAATTCAGTGCAACTAGCGTACATCTTACGTCATACGTTTTTACGTTTCAGAATCAATTTTCCTTGCTGTGTATTAGATACATAAATAGAGATGTATATATATATATATATATATATATATATATAATCCACACGCTTATAAAAGACTTTTTATTTTTTATATATTAAAACGTATATACGTTAGACAGTGCGTGTTATCGTATATAGTCGCATTGAAGTTGATTTCGACGTAAAATACTCGACGGATTGGAATGAAACCCGCGGGAACGTCATCCTCGTCCTAATGGCAAAGCAAATATTTATAGATAATGATAAGGGGGCGCCGCGTTAAACTAGATTTTCATGGATGAGTTATTAAGAGACAGACAAAGAGAGAAAAACAAAAAATAATAAGATTTATATATCACATACAAAATATTATGTATTAATAGTAAATTAAAATAAATACGATTTTTTTCTTTTTTTAAGTTTTTTAAAATAAAAGGAAAACAATGAAAAAAAAAAAAAAAAACTAAAAGAATTTACCAAGATAAACGGATGAAAAATAAATACTTCGTCACGAGCCCTTCGTTAATCGCTTATCCGATGTTATGTAGTACATAAGTAAGGTGCACCTATCGCACGTGTCCACAAGTTTTACTTTTATTTTTACTCAAGATAAGAACAGGTGTTAGGCTTTTTCCGAGACTGGGAGTCGGCTGTTTATAAATTATCAACTTCGAAATATGTTTCTTCTCTTCGAAATGAAAATGTTGATAAATATTATTTTTTTTCTTTCTTTTTCTTTTTTTTTTCACAGATAATACTAGAACTATCGACAACAAATTCTTGCAGATATCTTTTTTTTTTTAACTATTATTCGAATCATAATTAATAAAGAAATATTGATTAAAAGTTATCCTTGTTTATTTGTCATTGTCTAACAACACACGAATACATAAATATTATATAAAAATATAATTAAAATATAGATATAATATAAATAAAGAACTTTTATTATTTCGAGTAATCGTAGAATAAAATTGATGTAATAAAAACAGACTTGTAGTTCTAGCGTAAACAAAAAATAAACAAACAGAAAGAAACTGGTTCGTCAAAAAACTTTATTTGCATAGTTACGAAGTCTCTCTCTCGCCTTATATGTGAAGTAAACGATAAATATAACGACGTATGTATATATGTACGTGCATGAGTACATACTAGATACGTGTCGTCAATCGTTTGAAGAAAAAGAAAACTAACACTTTTACGGAAAATCGCTCGACTCAAACCTTTTCGAAATTGAGATCTCACTAATACCGATTACTAATACTGATTTAATTTTATAGCAAAAAATGCACAAATCCACACGTACAGAAACACATATATATACAGTTCTGAATAAAAGTATTAACGCAAACTTAATTTTTCTATAACATTCTCTGTAAATTTGTTAAAAGTACGATTCTTTGATTAATTTTTCTTTGAAAATAAATCTCTTGAATATAAAGACAATTTTTTTTTTCAGACAATTGTCCGAGGGCACTTTTTATAATTGTATCTGTCTATGGCTCTTTGGTATTGATTTAAATAATAAATAAAACGATATTTACAATACTATAATTGTCGTAAAATCAAATGAAAAAAAAAAAAAAGCAATAACGACACATCTAATGCAGAATTTTTATTTAAAATATAAAAAAACCTTGCCATTTGACTGTTCGTTTTATATTTAGTATTAAACTCATTCGTCATCGATAAATAGACTTATCTGAATTTACGTTTCACGCGAAAAGATAAGTTATATATAATCTTTAATAATCTTATGTCCGTACTATCAGTACTTGCGTTTCGATTCCAATCGTAACTTTTTATAAAGAGTATTAACAAATCGCTTTTTTATTGAAAAATTTTCCTCAACACAAAAAACATCTCGTAAGATAATGATTATCCGTAACGGATAAGAATAGCTTAAATTTATCTTTACGTATTTTATTAAGTACCGATGATAACATTTGAACACTTTATATCAAACCTGATCTATAATTCTATATAAACTGTACTACAATTTTTTAATGGAAATAAAGTAGAAAGATTTATATCATAAAAAGAGTTTACTTAATAAGTTTTAATTGCTCGTGAAATATAAACGTTGGAAGTTTGAACGACCTTGTCTAATAGGAATTCTTGTCGGAAATAACGATTTGAACGAATACCATATTACAGAAACCAGGAAAAATACCAAGATTCTAACATAAAAGATTGTGAAGTAGACATTTTATACTTACATATAATTTAGATTCGTGTTTTCGATTAAATCATGTATACACATATATACAAATGTGTATATATATATATGATTGACAATAACTGAACATAGGAAGCCAAAAAAAAAAGAAGGGAGGAGAATATAAAAATTCCACTTAAACTTAAATATGGAAGAGAAGCAATTTGTTTGGCTCGTAAAAAGAGCTATTTCATCCTCTTGGAAGACATTTATATGTTATACGAATAGAACAGCGCATTGACAAAGAAATTGTCAGAAAAAAAAACGAGTGAATGTAGTATGGTGGTGGTGTGATGAGGGATGGGGAATGGAAAGGTATAGAAATAGTCAAGATAATAAAATAATATGTTGCATAGTGTTGTATGCCAAAAGAGATAGATTATAATACATTATTGTATAGCGAGAAAATTAGTTTAAGGAATGAGAGTTAAGAAGAAAGAGAGAATAGCATAAGAAGGGTGGAGTAGGGAGAGGAGTGGGATGGGATCGTGCGTTACAGGACGGAACGGACGCAGAACGCATGGAGGATCGATCCGTCATCCAGATATTCGGGGAGATATAAATAGAGCGGTCACCGGAAAATAGACACACGAGGGAGTAATTCCGCGACGTAAGATAAGCGAGCTCCGCTGTCGTCTCACGGCTATCTCGCAATGCTCGCAGTTATACCCACCCAACCAACAACCCCACCTTTCTTTTCCTTTTTCTTTCTTCTTCATTCAACACATCGTCGCTCTCCTCTTCCTCCTCCTCTTTCTCCTTCTCATTTTTTTCTCGACACTCCGTGAACCGCTTAACCAGTGATTCCCTAATTCCGAAGATAAGATCTCGTTCTCTCGCGTTCCTCGCGATTCCTTCATTCCGTCCTTGTCTTTTCTTATCTTTTTTGTTTCTCTATTTTTTAACAATCCAATAAATTACCACACTTTATAAATTCCGCCAAAGCCCCCTCTCACCCAAATTTTTAATCTTTTGCATTTCCATTCGTAATCGATCGAAGTACTTATGAATAGGACGACAACTACTGGCAACCTCCTCCTGGGTACTCTCTAGTATCCAGGTAAAATATCCAATCAAATGAAAAATATTTATCTGATAAATTTATAGTCATATTTATATTGTTGCACGCATTATTATTAATCATAGCGCGTTCACTTTAAATACTGATATTCATGATATTTCATTTCAGCAAGCTATTAGTCAAGGTCATTCAAGGTTATTCAAAGTCAAATTTTGTTGTTAAATACACTTTCTTAAATTAGAGATGTTTGATATTGTGATAATTTGCGTTAATGCAAAGCTGTAATCTTTCTATCGCTAAAAGATGTACACGTCTTATTGTCCCTTAACACGTTGAGCGTCACGCTAATTCTTAAAGAAATCCCAGTCAGGCCACGCGCGTTACTTATTGTTGAAAAAATAGTTAGATGTCAGTCACCGGCGACTGACTGAATAAAAAAACCTTACTTATTTCGAGTTTTCACGATTTAACTGAATTATACAATTTAATATTGCAACATTTACTCTAACGGCAGTTCTATTTTTAAGTATGCGAATTCTCCGAAATTGTAAAAAGAATTTCTCTTTAACCGGCCTATCAATAAAATACAATTAAAATCGATTACTTCAACAAGTTCGTTGACTGAGCTTCTACAGTAAAATACACCCACGCATATGTATCTCATTACGATTTCAAAATCAAGATATCTAACCACGTTGGGAATGGAATTATTGTATACTTTTAGTTCATTAAATACCATTATGTTTTATCAACGAACCAAAAACGGATAACTTTCTTGTTCCTTCTGATGACTGCTCATTCGTTGAAAGTCGTGGGTAGTGATGCTTGTCCGCCTACGCGACACATCGATGCTTGGCAAACCTCTTTCAAATTCATTCAATATTAAATGGTTGATTCTACATATATGTTTACAATTCATTGTTTCTTTATAACAAAAATTCTTTAATCTTAAAACTATGTTTATATTTCTAGCCTAGCGTGTTCTTTAACATCTCTTTCTTCTCTTCCTTTTTTTTTAACCATGTTTAATTTATAGAATTTGTTTATGAATATATAACTGCAAAGTTATATTAAAAACTTGTTTTACCTTATAACTGAATAATTATTAATAAACTAATATTGAACAGCCGAATATTTGTTTTTAATTTAAAAAACCTACTAAATGAGATTGTATCTTTTTACTTTCCCTTTTACGGATTCGAATCACTTCTCTACTAACATCTTCTCGTACCTATCCAATACTACCAAAGAGGTCTTTTTATTGCCTCTATGGAGTTAACAATCACACGGTTCTGTTTTTCCGAACGGATCACTTCCGGTAACAACCATTTTACTAATCGTGCCTACGTTGTTTAATCTTGGTGATTTGACGGAAACTAGTAATCCAACGTGGCTAGACCGTCGACTATTAAATTATATAATACTCATATATTTCGTTTATATAAAATATACTATGAAATATTGATTGTGTTTGGAATAAATAATTGTTTTTTCTTTCTTTCAGTATTGGGAATAACTTGCTACTGTGAAGGACACTGCCCAGACGGCCGACAAAACGGTACTTGCGAAGGAAGACCCGGTGGACATTGTTTTAGCGCTGTAGAGGAAGTTTGGGATGCTGAGAGTAAAGAATATATTCCAGAATGGTCCTTTGGATGTTTGCCACCGGATGAAGAGGGTTTCTTGCAATGCAAGGGCTACCTTGTTCCACATCTAGAAGGAAAAAACATAATTTGTTGCAACAAGACGGCTCAGTGTAACAAGGAAATATTTCCAGAGTATAAAACTCGTCCTACACCAACACCAGATCCAATAGCTATTGCCTCTGGAGCATCTATTATCATATTAGCTGCTTCATTATCTGTGTGTTTAATGATTATTTTCATAGCAATAGTGATAATATATCATAGATATAGAAGAAAAGAAAGAGGCCCGTGTTTAGTACCTTCTCAAGGAACACTTAGAGATTTTATTGATCAAAGTAGTGGATCAGGCTCTGGACTACCTCTTTTAGTACAAAGAACTATAGCTAAACAGTTGGCTTTATCTCTGTGCGTTGGAAAAGGTAGATACGGCGAAGTATGGCTAGCACGATGGAGAGGAGAAAAAGTGGCAGTAAAAGTCTTTTTCACTTTGGAAGAAGCATCTTGGTTTCGTGAAACTGAAATCTACCAGACCGTTCTAATGAGACATGATAATATCTTAGGCTTCATTGCCGCTGATATCAAAGGAACAGGATCTTGGACTCAAATGTTATTAATTACGGATTACCATGAAAGAGGTTCTTTACATGATTATTTACAAACCACTGTGCTAGATCATGCAGATCTATTGGCTATTTGTCTTTCCATTGCCTCGGGCGTTGCTCACTTGCATACTGAAATTTTTGGAACTCGTGGAAAACCAGCCATAGCTCATAGAGATATCAAAAGCAGAAATATTTTAGTTAAAAGGAATGGTGAATGTGCAATTGCTGATTTTGGTTTAGCTGTACGTTTTATAAGGTATGCCAGTTTTTCTAATTGTATGTATATTATCTTTAATTCATCAAAATGTTGAATTTCTAAACATGTATTGGTTATTATATTAATTTAGTGAAAGCGGAGAAATCGATATTGCGCCTAATACGCGAGTAGGAACCAGAAGATACATGGCTCCAGAAGTGCTAGATGAAAGTTTGAACACATCATCGTTTGATGCTTTTAAAATGGCAGACATGTACTCTGTAGGATTAGTTTTATGGGAAGCATGTAGACGTTGTATGACAGGTGGTAAAAATTCTATAGTGGAACCATATGCATTACCTTATCACGATGTCGTCCCAAATGATCCAGATTTTGAAGACATGCGATTAGCTGTATGTGTAAAGCGTTTACGTCCTATTATCCCAGCAAGATGGGATAATAATCCAGTAAGCATTATTTTTATATATTTTTATATATGTAATATATTGTGAAACGTTAACATTACAAAAAAATTAAGTGTTGTATGAAGCCGTTTACAGACCAAAGCGATTAACTCCACTTTTAGAATTTTTTAATTTTATTATCAAAGCACTTCTTTCTCTCTCTCTCTCTCTCTCTCTTATCAATACTTAAATTTTTATATTTAAAATAAATTTCCTATAAATAATTAGACCTAACACCAAAGTCGTCATTTAGTGGTGTTACTAATTATTTAAGAAATTTATATATATAATAATTGTAATTTAAAAATATTAATATGTTCTTTTAATTATCTTTTTTCAGATACTCTTTACATTGAGTAAGCTAATGGTAGAGTGTTGGCATGCAAATCCTGCTGTGCGTTTAACAGCACTTCGTGTTAAAAAGACAATGTCAAAATTACATATTGACAATGCTATTAAAATTGTGTAGTGCTTGGTGCTTACTCAAAAAACTGTTATTCTCGTCTCTTAGATAAAAAAAATATGTTCTGCCCCTTGTAAATATACCCTTTGTGTACATAGAACTATTTACAGACTGCAGCCTGAAGACTGAGTACTAAAATTTACAAATACATGAAGATGGACAAGAATGTGCGTGCATTGCGTCTGCATCTGCAGCTACGTGGATGTGTGTGTTTCTGCGTGAATGTGTGGTGAATAATAATATGAATTTTCGAATGTAATTACAAATATGATATATATGGTTATATAGGGTGAGTAAATTGTAATTCACCCTGTATATATATATATATAAATATACATAAATAATTTTTTTCCGTGAATCGCGCCAAAGTTATGTTAAGTCAAAATTCTGACGCGATTCACTGTATTAAAGTTGGTTAAGTATCTAATCAATGAAGGCTACTACTTATTATTAGATACAAAAATATTATTATTTCCACAAAGATGTTCATTTTAAATATGAAGGAAACTGTTCATATATTTAGAAATAGATCTAGCATATAATCAAAATAAAAACAAATAATATGAAACTCATTTAAAGATATATAATTAGGATAAATAATATACAAATCGCGTATATAAAAATGCCTGTTCTTTTATATCTATCTTAACTACTCTAAGATATTATGAAACACTTCAGTACTTTCAAAAAAGAGTTCTATAAATATTAGTATTCTAAAAAATTTTATAATTATCTCCACTTTAAATATGTCAATTTATGCTAGTTCTGTTTCTGAATACCTTTAGAGGTAATTGCTTTTATGGAGATTAGTTATGGTTATTATTGTGAATATTATTAAAAATTCTTAAAAAATATAAAAAACAAAAATCGATATTAAATATTATTATTGAAATATGGAAGTACAAAAAAAAAGTTTAATTATTGTATTTTTTATGCCTCCGATTGTTTAATATTGTTATGACTTTTCTGTTATTTGACACAAAACACGTCATGTGATTTATTTTCTATTTGCATTGGTATTTTATTCTATTGTAATTAACAAGCATCGACCACTGCAGGATAGTATAAATTATTATTCCTTTAAATGTAATCGCATATTTTTTTTAGTAACTATTAATATAATACAAAAATTTCAATATTGTACAATGTAAACAATGAGAAAGTACTTTAAAAGCTGATAATTTTACTGATTCTACTGATTCTTTAAATTCTTCAAAAATTTCTTTAGACAATTACTATGACTTTTGTATTACCATAGGTAATTATACTTTGACTTTTAAAAAAGCGATAAATTTAAAAAACTGAATAATATATCAGTTAAAAAAGTTAATATATTGTATAATTGAAATTGATTGTTATCATCTTGTTTTATAAGTTTCAAATGCCATAAACTAATCTGTATTATCTGTACAGTATATAATTTAGATTTCTAATTTGTACAAACAAGCATGTTAAACCAATAGCGATGAAAATATTGCTATAATGTCAAAGAATGATTTTAAGTCTATGGTTGTTATACCAAATTAAACTATAAAAAGTCATACTTGTGAAAGTAAACTAATGCATCTTGCGCTTAAATTATACAACGATCAGTTTCTTGCTACTAAATATTTTTATCTTACATTTTGAGGTAATGAGCAGCATAGAACAATTATAATCAGGTATTATATAACTATCTTTATAGTGCAATAATCATTGTTTTATGTAAAAGATATTATTTGTCAAAGTGATATAGTTTTTGCATATCTTTATAATATCTATTGCACTCAATTGTAAAGATTTAATCATGAAAAAGTTGTTACTATAATTTTATAAACTATAAAGCCAGACTTTTGGTCGTTGACTCAACATTGTTATGTTATTAAATATGATTCCCATATACTATAATATGGGAATAACTGTTGCATATTATCTGATATCTTCTGTAGGAAGATCAATGTAATTATATCAAAAATTGTAGTTATTAGCTAGTTGATTGAAAGTAATGAAATTTATATTTTTAACAAGTATTAAACAATATCATCTTTTTCCAGATACGCTCATTTTATTTATTGCAAGTACATACTGTACATTCCTTATAACACTCTTTGTAAAAATAGAAATTAATCCCTCAGAATATTCAAAATATGACAATCTAACGATAGCAACAATTTTACAGACAACATTTTTGCTTTTTTTTTTGGTAAATCAGTTAATGTGCGCGTAACTCCGCAAATCTTAAATTAATATATAATGTATTTTTAAGATTATTAATAGCATTTAATTAAAAAGATTAAATAGGACATTATCTCTATGCATAGAAAATAATCAGTTTAAATACCCAGTTACATACATTGATTCTTAACGACAATCTAATATAATCTAAAGAATACTTATACTCAATAGCGCGTTGTTCGTAGTGAGGCATATTTCAGGTTTGATAAACAATAAAAAAAAAAAAACAATTCATTATTACTAAAATTATTTTTCATTTCTTATATTTTTTTTTTACATTGTACATTTAATAAAGTATTTCTAATAATATTTCTTAATAATATAAAAGTCAATGAATAAATTAAAATATAAAATTAAATAGGAGTATAAATTATTTATATATATATATATAGATTGGATAATAAAACAGAAAGCTAAATATTATATAATAAATAATTAATATGTATCTTATCAATATTAGCAAATTAAAAATCTTTTTTAAACCTTCTATTATTTCTACTCATACATATATAACACAAATAAAATTATATCCATACTAAAACCGTATCTTTTTTCGAAAATATATCAATATATTCTATATATATATACTATTTTCCATTAATAACAGTAAATAACAGAAAAAAATTGCAGCATTAGACTGAGTACAAGTGATATATAAATAAATTGCTCTAAATAAACATTAATAAACATCGAAAAAATATTAATATTTTTTATAAGGACATATATATGTATATAGATCTAGTAAAAGCGAATCCTATTTCTGATCAATTGTGACTTAAGGTAATGAATAATACTTCGCATACATTTGTTATAAATTCTGAACGGTATATGGAATAAATTTATATTTATTAAAATGCTGTTGTTTAGAAAATAGCTAATGCATAAAAATAAAGCTTTTATAAAAATTCAATAAAGTCATTCCAACGTTTAAAAATTCATCTATGAAAAGTTTCATAAAAATTAGTTAAGAATTGCATCTAAATTTATTATATAAATATATAATATATGGACTGCGTAATATGTACGAAAGATAGAGGAAGAAAGATGCTTCGATTCCCAATGCTATCTCTGTCTAATGACACTGTAGAAGGGGGATAAATTTCGTTGATTGGTGGTTTATAAATGAATAGAAAAGAATAAAAGATATGAAAAAGGAGCGGTTAGTTTAATAATTATATATAATAAAACTTATATATTATATATATTTATATAAATTGATACCCAATAATTGAATAGCAATACATAGACGTATTGTGACAGCACTGCTGTTCGCCCATATTTTCGCTAAAATCACTTACACTTTGTTGAAAGATAATAAACAACAACTTTAACGTTACTTGAAAAATATTAATTACGCAATCTTGTGCAATTTGTAGCTTACGATTTAGAATGTAATTTTTGCTGATCTCATATATGTCTCTAATGTACACGAAAAAACTACAATATTGGATTTTCTTTTATAAATCAAAAGGTTTAAGAAAACATTCAATAATTTAAAAAAGAATACAAAGATCAACCAACTAACCATAGAAACGTACACAATTCACATTAGAAAGACTAAAAAGGAATCATCCAGGTGACTCATATATACAAAAATTGTAAAAGAAAACGATAACCCTTAAGGTATTAATTAACACCCACGTGTTATTTAAATTAAACAAATAAAGAAATTTATCTAATGTCCACGGAAAAATTGTAAAGCAGAAAATGAATATAAATAAAAAAAAACAAATACAAAGAATTTTAATCAGGTAAAAGAGAAGTGTCGATCACGATTATTAGATCAGACTGTTTGAAATCTTTAAATTGGTATTAAAATAATTTTTGGTATAAAAATAAAGGGTATAAATAAAAGTATTAATTTTCTCTAATATTAAAAACATTGCACGTTATCATGAAATTTGGTATAAATATAATTTACATGATAAGTTTGTAATGTAAAAGTTGGTAGCATTGAATTATATTGGTAGAATTGCTTTGTCGCGCCGCCTTCCTCTTCCTCCCGGTCTGTTTCGGTACAGCCATTTTTTAGTTCGGAAGCGTGTTAGTTCGCGTCGTGTAATATTACGTTGTTTTACTGAATTTATAGACTTGGTAAGTATTCAATACTTTACAAATGAATATATTTAGATATTTCATTGTTTTCATCGACAAAATACATATAAGAGAATATTCGTAATACTTGTATCGGGAAAAGTTCATGACGTCGTAATCGAAGCACGCCATTTCGTCTTATTTTGGCGTCATCGGTTTTTCTATTTTTTACTATTTGTTTTGTAAATGCGAACAAAATCGAACACTCGTACAAATTAAAATTTAAGTACAAGTTTCGACGTTATGTTCATGCTCAAATTATTTCAAATAACAATTCTTGTAAGTATATGCAAATGACGCATTACAATGTACTCTTCTATATAGTTATTCTTTTGCCTGCTTCTTTCTTGCAATCTCGTATTACCACTGTTGAACACAGTTAACTTGTGCGACGGTGCTTTACAGTTTTGTTTTATAGAACGATTTAACAAATCGCCTCGTATATATATTCATATATACATTTCTTATCACTTATCAAACGTTGAATTGATATTCCGATCACATTCATTTAAACAATTATACGTCTCTGATAAAATTGTAATATTTGTATTTGATTTGTTTATTTTGTCTTAACCGAAAATATTTGATTTCGAATAAATTTTCTTAACGTATTCTTCGAAGAACATTTCTCATAAGTCACCTTAAATATAACGTGTTATTGTTTAAAAATACGAAGAAACTTAATAAGTTTTAATACAATTTTTCCAATGTAATTTGACGTTCAATATATTTGTGTGTATGAATGGTTTCTTTTTTTTTTTTTTTTTGTTTTTTTTTACTAAAATAAAACGAATTAATTATTTTATATGTATTGTATATATGTTATGTATTTAACATGCATGCACATGCTACACGTATATAATGAAATCTTTATTCTTCAATTTTTGTATTTTGAAAACGTTGACAATTCTCAATATAATTTTTATTCTAAAGAACTAATTTTATATTAAAAATTAAATTTTAAGAATAAATTTTTCAATTACATTTTAAGAAATTAAAATTACTCCAGTCGGGAAGTGTCAAAAATGTGTATATTTAATATTATTATCGGTTCATTAAAATTCGCGTTGTATTTAATATAGATAATTAAAAATGGCAACATATACTATTGTACGAATGAAGTTGGTGTAAAGAAGATAAAAAAAAAAACAACGCCGGCATAGAAGCTAACGAAACACCGTGTATTTAATTGAGTAGACCGCCGCAAGAGTCGTTCTTGATAGTTTTAAGAACGTGTTCTGTGATTGGGGAAATTCGACCAATAGAGTGGCAGCACTGAACATTTCTTACACGACGCGGCAAGCGAGACGTCGCCATTACGTTGATTTTGTCTCATGCGAATGCTCTTACGTGTTGTGTTCTTTGATGTTTCTAGAAGATCTTGTTTCTAAAACAAAGTAAAATAAAATATTAGGAGAAAAAACAAAGGTATTGTGTGAAAGAGATATTCCTCTGTTATTTATAAGAGGAAAACTTTGATTTCTTGTGTGAACAAAGCCGCGCGCCATTTCACGAAGGTCACTGAGCGTTGAACTACGTGCTTTAACGGCATTCTAGGCGAGATCTTATTGGTAGTAGTATACTCTCGTAAGTTAACTTATTGTTAGCAAGGATAAAAATAGAAGGTATATATATTTTTTCGTAACGTTCCAAGTCTCATACTCGATATACATGAGATTGTTAAACGGTTTGGCGCATGTCGAAATATTTGGCATTTTAGCGATTATAAATGTGGAAGGTCGCCAAGCAAATGGTGGATAAAAGCGTCAGAGCTGTAATCAAACTGAAGCTTTTGGGGTATTTCCCGCCTTACTCAAACTTGTATAATCTATTGAGAATACTTATGAATGCAATTGTTATCTTTAAATATATTCTTAACTTAATTATTTCTTTTTCTTCAGAGAGAAATATTTAATGTTAATTATTATACTTTATGGTGTAATAATTGTGTTTATTTCTTCGTGTGATCTCTTATCTATTTAATACGGAAATCCTGTTGCTCATGCATTGATTAAAACACGCGATCGTTTTGTCCATTTAAGGAAATAAAAGTAGAAGCGTAATCTTGCTAAATACTATTTTTACAGTAATACTTTGCATGAATTAGTCAATAAAAATAATATATGGTTGAGATATATTAAGATAACAAAAGTGGCCTATTAATTCCAAGATTCATTTCATTATCTGTATTTTTGTATGTTATAGGAGCAATCATACTTTAAATATACAATTGGTAATTATTATGTAGAACTTTTTATTTATATATATATTAAATGTTTTTGTAATAGGTTCTAATACGAGCCAAAAATGCCAGGATTTAGCAGCGTGGGTACGTTTAAAATTTTTATTGGTAACTTAGCTGATAAAACATCAAACGCTGATATCAAGCCACTTTTCGAGAAATATGGAAAAGTCGTAGAATGTGATGTTGTTAAAAATTATGGATTTGTGGTAAGTCATCTGACATATGAGAAGTTTAAATTTGTTTTATCCGCATAAATCTAACTCATGTTTACTCTATTATTAGCATATGGAGAATGAAGAAGCTGGAAGAAATGCAATTCAGAATTTGAATGGACAAATAGTTCATGGACAGCCCATAAAGTGTGAAGCTGCAAAGAGTCGTAAAGGACCCAATACCCCTACGACAAAAATTTTTGTTGGCAATCTTACAGATAACACGAAAGCACCTCAAGTGCGCGAATTGTTTGCTAAATATGGCACTGTCGTAGAATGCGATATAGTGAGAAACTATGGATTCGTCCATCTAGAAGCCACAGGTGACGTGAACGATGCCATCAAGGAGCTTAATGGGCAAATCGTCGATGGTCAACCTATGAAGGTTCAAATTTCCACTAGCAGAGTACGACAAAGGCCAGGAATGGGAGATCCAGAACAATGCTACCGATGCGGACGTGGAGGCCATTGGTCCAAGGAATGTCCAAAAGGAGGAATGGGAGGAGGACCGGACAGGAATGGATTTCGCGACAGAATGTTTGGACGTGACCCGTATCCTCCACCGCCGCCACCACCTTTCCTTCGGGACCGGCTAATGGGTGGTGGCCGCTTTGGAGTAAGTATATTTTGAGTTAATCGATTTCTACTCCATCATTGCTTCGAAAGGCTAGGGCTAGCCGTATAAAGCCTGGTATAGCCTTATACAATTCGAAGTTTAACCTTTTTTTTTTTTGGGGAATTTTTTTTCTGCAAACAGGACTACGAAAGCTACTATGACAGGAGGGGCTTCGACGACACCAGGGATCTCTACGAGAGGCGGTTTACGGGTATGACAGGGCCCTGTGACATGGGAACATCCATGTGCGGGCTAGACTTTCCACCAATGACAATGCCACCTCTACCTCCCAGACGAGACCCAATGCCTCCTATGCCTCCTCTAGGTATGGGATCCATGCGTGACACTGGCTTCTCCCGAGGCAACGATTATGGCATGTTCAGCCGACGATCACCCCCTCCAAGCGGCAACAACGGCCGGTTCAGGTGAGTAGAGCCGGAGTACCGACAGCCCATTCGTCCAACTTAACATTGTGAACGTTCCAGGCTGGATTAACAGCTCATGCGAATTGGGGTTCGGTGATTCGTCGACATTTTATTATTCCATTACATTTTTTCATTCTTATATACTTTGAACTTTCACTTGGTTTTCTTTTTCTTTGTCTTGTTCATAAAAAGTTGACGAAATTATGTTTTGTTTTCGGTGGGCTTTCGCGTTCGCGTATATTTCTATTTTTCTCTCTCTTTCTTTCTCTCTCTCTCTCTTCTCATTTCTTTTCTTTTCTTTTCTTTTCTCTCTATCTGTGTCTCTCTCTTTCTCTCACTTTTTCTCCCTCTATATCTATATCTATATCTATATCTATCTATCTCTTTCTTTCTCTCTCCATTTCTGGGTAAACGCGAAAATTCACTTACAACGTAAGCCTATTTCTCTTTTCTCTTTCTACTTAAGACATTGATTTTATGGTTTCTAAAAATCTTCCTGTTCTCTTTATCTCTATTTGTAATTATACATGTAACACTCGTATTCCTTGTCAATCCAGAAAAAGTATTAGGAATTCACGCACGATCACTTTTCTATCTATTACTGCATATTATCTCTCTTTTCTCTCGCTTCAGTTATGGTAGCACATGTGGTAAATTTTAAAATAAGAATGACTGTCGACCCGATGCCCACATGAGTGCAGCGTCTCCGCAGTAAAAAAAATGTTATTATATGACGCTTGGATGTTTCTGTACATTCTAAATTTCAGTGCACCTCAGGCTGCGTACCATCTTTGTCCATGAATGCGGACAACCCTAGAGAGACAGTCCTGGGTCAACGTTCAAGTCATGCAAGAGTAAGTCTTTGACCATTATGTTAGCGAGTAGTCATACCTCGTTCTTGTCACTGACGTGTTGGAAAATAACCGCAGCTGTTTGTACATTCTCTACTCCAGTATTCTTCAAAATAACGAAATAAATCGTGAGGTCTTGACTGACAATGCCTTGAACATGTCGACTGCTCTTCTAGGGATGTCCCATTTCATCGTAGCCTCTCTCTTGATCCATGGCATTAACTGCGAGATTGGCCTGTATGTCTCTCATAAATCCTTTGTGTTTCAAGCGCTCCCTATTACGAACATCACTCAACCGGGAGTGGCGCGGAGGCCTGGGATGAAGAAATGTTCTAAGGAATACGAACTAGAGTTTTCTTGATCGCACTACTTACCGCGAGCCAGGATATGCGATCTCAAATTTTAACGAACTATCTATCTTTTTACTCTTTCATTTTTTTTCTATTTTTCTCTCTTTTTCTTTCTTTCAATCTTCCCTTTCTCTCTCTTTCTTTCTCTCTTTCTCTATTTCTTTCTCTTTCTCTTTTTCCTACCTCCTTCTCTTCTTCTCTCCTTCTCTTGTACGCTGTATAGATAGAACTAAAAAAAATGATCAAAAAATGAGAAAACACAAGCAAAGTATATATGTGTCTCTCTTTATATATAATATTATATATAAAAGAAACAAGACTGGCGCGATTTTCAGGAACAGCGTCGGTCAATTGTCTTTGAAACGTCTCGTAAGTAGAAACCAGCTCTGCGGACAAATTGGAAGAGTAAGTTTATATGTCGGCGTTTCCTGATATTCGTTCTTTAGGCCAATTTCTTCCTCCATTTTCCCGAAATTTTTTTTGGATTTTATTTATTTGTTCTCCCTATTTTTAGTTTCTATTTTCTATTTTTATTATATTTATCGTACTTTTCCTTATCTTGTTCTTTTTATTTCTCGTTTGATTTGCATTACATTTTAAATAACATTATTAAATTTTTAACTTCGTTCGATTTAGGCCCTTTATGTATTAATCTTTGAAGAGAAAATTTATGTTTATGTGTATTACAATTATTTAGATACACAGATAAGGATATAATTTTCTTTTTTTCTTTTGTTTGCAATGTAATATTTTTTCTGTTTCTGTTTGTTGACAATATTATTTTTGGCTTTGGATACAAAGATATTACATATCGTAATTATCGTAATAATTCCAAAGTTTGATATTTTTCTCGCTCAAACGATTATGAAACCAATCCATTAGAGATATTTAAGCTTGTACCTGACGTGTTTAAATTCATTATTGTTATATATATATATATAACAATACGTATTTATGTGTACATAAATTAAAGGCCTGTGCAACGTGTCCTAGCGAGGCTGACTTCTGCTCACGACGTTCAAAGTTTTTCATGCTATGTAGTCCCATTCCGCACAATTTTCAAATAGAAACAGAATTGATTGAAATTTCTCAGTTTCCCAACGAACTTTGAGTTTGTTGTTGCACGTTACCTTTAGCACTTATCAACCCTAAATTATCCCAGACTGGGCTGTGCTTATGGTTCTTACGTTTCTAATTTTTTGTAAGTATATACGAAAAGAAAACAAAAACAAAAGAATACTTACAAATCGCATGGGTCTAAAAGAGAATCCAGTCTACGCTACCTGCCTCATATGACTGATTAAAATTCCACATGTCTCTTATTATTAATTATTTCTTACTCTTGTCTTTTCATTAAATCATCTAATTTTTTCGATAACGATATATTGTACTTCTTTTCAAATAAAAAAAGAATAGAGATTTTATATTAGTTTATATCTTCATTTTTCATAGGCGGGTGTAGTATTAGAAATGAATATTAGATAAATATGTAGAAAAAAAGAGCACATGTTGTACATGCATTTATAACGTATAATGATTAACGTTTTACGTTTCTCTTATTTATAAAGGACTGTCTCAATCTCATTTTCTCTTTCTCCTTATCACCAAAGACTTTTTGTCTGTCGAGTTTTGATATTTTCTGAGTATTCAATTTGATAGGTTTTTTATTTTCAACATTTCACATATCCCCAATTGTTTATTCGTGCAAACACACGAATTGTACGGGTAAAACTATTAAAGGTGTAAAACATTTTATAGAATCTTCTGTGTGTTTTCCTATATATTTGTCGATTGTCTTAGGACTCGTTGTGATTATGGCATTTTCCAAAATTTCAAATTCATTCAAATTCTTCTTCTTAACTGGTACTAACAAAACCTTTCTTACTCTTTCTCTTGAGAATCTTATCCTCTTTTGACGCTTTCCAAGAAGGAAACAACAAACATATTTTAAAACAGTCATATTAGGCGGCAAGCGTGATTATTTTTTCTTTGCACGTTACATAATGTACACAGGGACTAATTCACAAAGTTAAGCCTTGGACAAGGGAACGAGTGTGGTATATAGCAATGGTGATAATGATAATAATGATGATAATGATGGAATGATGGTGGTTATGATGATGATGATGATGATGATAATGATGATGATGATGATGATAGTTAAGACAATGATGGTGGTTATGATGATGATGATGGTAGATATGATGGTGATGATGATGATGATCAATTAGTAGATTCGATTATTTATTATAAACGTTGTTATAGTAGAGGCATGTACGAGGACTTCAGCCGAGATTCGTTCGAAGAACGTAGGTAAGTAGATGTGTCATCGGTCAATAAAAAAAAAGAAATAATACCAAAAGAGAAAAGAGATTAAATCAGTCTAAAAAAAAATGAAGTACATAGTGTGTGTGTGTGTGTGTGTGTGTGTGTACGCGTGCGTGCGTGCGTGCATGGATGTGTGTGTATATATCATATTTTTGTATCTAATTTGAATTAATTAGATTCATTTAATACTAATCGCCCTTTTCTTTATGTCACGATAACTATTTTGTATTTAGTACCGTTCTCCTTGTATATATCAGTATAATTTTTAAAATCTCTTTCTCTCTCTCTCTCTCTCTCTCTCTCTTTCTCTTTCTCTCTCTCACTATCGCTCTAACTCTTGAATTTTCTGTCTCTCTCTCTTTTCTTTTTATATCTATCTTTCCTATTTCTTTTCTTTCTTTCTTTCTTTCTTTTTTTTTCTTATTCCATTTTGCTTTTTATGTTTTAACAGCCAATTTTTCTTTTATTGTAGAAATGAAAAATAGTAATTTTAATATTTATTTTAGTAGTGTGCATATATAATATACGTCAAAACAATTGGAATCATCGATGGCTCCGTTTTTTGGTATTCTTTCGTGTTGCATTTTTTTCGTTTATTTTTATTTTTTTTTTTTTTTTTTCAAAATTAAACTCCAATTATCCTCACACCACCACTACTACCATTACCTCGATTTTCTCATATATCTTATTTGCTTTCTCGTCACTATATAATATATAAAACTCGTTAAAGAGTACCAAATTTGAAAGTGTGTGTCATCATCGTTGTCCTTCGTCATCATCGCGTAAGAACTAAGAGAAAGGAAGAGTATTTAAATGAAAAATCTTTATGCGATATATGATCATTCTTTTTTCGACAAGTTTATCACTAATTTAAAGGCATTAATAATAATTAACTTGTTTTTTTATCTTATTATAAATATAACATTAAATATGCACGCGCACGCACGCACGCCAAACAAACAAACAAACACATACATACACAAATACAACGATGTGTATACATTTTAAGAAAAGTTTCGTAGGTTCTTTTCGCGAGTTTTATAAGTTTTAGGAGACACATCTCGTTGCATAGGAAAGAAAATAAAATAAAATTAAAATAAAGGTAGTTTTTTCTTCGCAGACTTCTTTCTCTTTCTCTTTCTCTCTTTTTCTATTTCTATTTCTATTTCTATTTCTCGTAGAAAATATAATAATCTAATTTCGTATAGTGAAATTTTATCTGAATAATTGTTGATCGTTCGATCGTTTGATTTAATTACCTACCCCCCCAATGTGTGGGAATTCTGAAAAGAGAAAAAGGCTGTTGTTATACTTTCTTACTTTCTTGTCTACCACTCCCTAAAAAAAAAAAGAAAAAGAAAAGAAGTTCAAAGAACGTCTTTCAGCTTGAAGGGAAAGATTTTTACGTATAACGGGAAGAGCGGTCGATAGTTTTGTGTGATTAATTTTATTTATAATTAAACTAAATTATTTGATTTCTTATCAGAGCTTCGCATTGTTTAAAATTTGTCTTATCGTAAATCTTTATACATATATTTTATATGTATATATATATATATCTATATTTATATATATATATATACATAATATATATGTATATATTAAAAAAAATATTTTGGAACTATAACATGCGAGAAAAACGAGGAAGAACCATACTCTTCGTGCTGCTACCAATTATTCGATTATATATATTTATCTATAATTTTTATTCACATTTATTTATTTATTTATTTTATATTTTTTTTTGTTATTGATCGTACTCTTTTCCTTCAACCTATATCTTTCTTTTTTCTTCATACAATCCTGTCTCTAAATTCTATCTATCTCTATCTCTTTTTCTATCTCTATCTCTATCTTTATCTATCATTCACTCTTTCATCGCTATATTGTCAAATGTTTTTCTCCATCTATCTACTTATACATATATATATATCTGTTAGTATGAAAAAAAAAAAAAAAAAAAAGAAAAAAGAAAAAAAAATTATCCAAAGAAAAAAAAAGCAAAGTCTCCCCCCACCCCCACCCCCTTATTATAATTAATACCCGTGCAATTAACCGTTGAATAATCGAATTCGTGTGACTGACGTGGATTAATTTTGGTTACCAGACCGGGATTACGAGGGCCATCGCCGTCGCGCCGGTTCGCACCATACTAAATCGTCGCGTCGGGCTCGGATCGGTCTGTCGGTCTGTCCGTCTCTCTCTGTGTCGGGTCTGATCGCTAGCAGGAAGCCTCGGGACCGAGATACTCTTGGCCGTCTGTCGATCTGCACGCGCGAAGATCTGCCGCAACCGCTATATGAGAAAAGAAACACAAGTACATTCTGTCACCCGCAGGGCGCCCATTTAATAATTAGATTATTCTTAATAAATAAACTTATGATAAAAAGAAATGAAATGAAATGAAATGAAAAACAAAAAAACAAAGGAATTACCCACAACCACACAACCACTACAAAATATATATACAAAAAAAAAAAGAAAGAGAATACAATAAATGGAAAGAAAACAACGCCGAATCCACCGAAAAAATAATAATAATATGATGGTAATAATAATAATAATAATAATGATAAAATAATGGTAATAACAATAATAATAATAATAAAAATGAAATGAAATGATAGACAAAGAATGTCCTTGTCCTGCGATAGAATATCGTAATCTGCGCATAGACGAATTTTAATCGACGTAAAAAAAAAAAAAAAGAAAAGAAAAGAAAAAACAGTATCTGAAGAAGAAACATTTACGGTCCCTATGCATCTTGATAAATTTACCCTTCCGAATCTTATCTCTCTCCCTCTTGCCTGACAATGTCAACACCAATTATTATATCACCATTGCAACTTCCGCTATCCTTCCTGATCCGATATGTATATATATATGAAATGTATATGTGTATATATACAATTACATCCCATCTCTATCTCTTTTATCAGAGCACACGTATAATTATTAGTCCGTCAGAATGATTACTTATCGTTTATTACGATATAATATCCTAAGGAAACGATAACGAACGATTAGAAGATAAAAACTAGCGAATCATTTATAAAAATTTTCACGCATTTTTTTTTTTTTTTGTTTTTGTTCTATTTTGCGCCCCACTCTTCTTCTTACGTCACAGGTTGTTGTAAATATGCAAAAATTGTTTCACCGTACTCTTTATACGCGTTTATATTATCTAAAATGAATTCACATTTGTGCGCATTGCGATAGATCGCGTACGCGACTTCTTTCGTGACCTGAAACTCTTGTATTACTTGTTTATTTGTTCATTGGCGCGATATATTTTTTTTTTTTCTATCCCTCCCCGAAAATTTAAGAGTGAGAAAACGTTTATTATTATCATCATCGATATATAATATTTAATGCGCGTTTATAAATTAAACGCATGTATGGATGTGTATGTATGTATGTATGTGTGTATGTACGATGAAGAAGAAAAAAGAAAAAGAAAAAAAATATAAAAGTAGGTGGGAAGAGTGAACTTCTTGTATATCAATTTTTGATATTAGATCGTGTCAATTCTCGCTCATATTGTAATCGCAGAGACGCGCGCGCGCGGTCTTTGTATTTGTTTCGTCGATTAATAGAAAAATGATTATTTTTTTGTTCTCATTATTAATGTGTCATTTTTTCTAGTATCGCTTCGAAAAAGTTCACTCCTTCGACTCGGATATATATATATATTAACATATTAAACTATTAATTGTATTGTATAATTTTTCACATTGATACACCTATATATAAATGTGACATTTTTTTTCAAAATTTCCAATTACAATTTCGTAGCGATACAACGATATTCGATTTTATATGTAGTAGTTCGTGTATGCGTGCGTATACCGATCGTTCGTTAGCCGTTTCCTTCCGATTTCTTTTATTATTTTCTATATATTTTTTTTGTTTTTCTTAACTAATAAAAAATATAAATTGATGTCTTTTTTTTCGTCGGACTTAACGGCACCCAAGAAAAAAAAAAAAAAAACATTTTTGGAACGATTAATCGTGATCCTTTGTATAATTGGTTAGAAATAAAAAAAGAACGTTTTTTTTAATTATTTTCCTAACACAACCCCAGGTCCGTCGTTCGGTTCGAAGATTACTAAAGATGTTAATAAAAAAAAAAAAAAGAAAACAAATAAGAAAAGAGAGGAAAAATCTATTATTAATAATAGAAAAAAGGTTAGTACCCGATATTTGGTACCCAACAGAAAAATGCGCAAAATTTTGTATAAACGAGACTAAAAGTGTGTGTATGTATATGCGAGAGTGTGTGAGTGAGAGAATAACGATCGTGGCCGAACGGTTTTTTTCGCCGATTTGCTTTTCTGACTTTTTTCTTCTTTTTTTTTGGGGACCTGTTAGTAAAATAACGTGAATAGAAATTATTCTAGAAATGATATGATTATCCAAGACATAAATGTTTCATACACGGATGTTTATAGGAAAAAATACCGTTCGGGGACTAGACGCGCCAACATTCGTAATAGAAATTTGAAGAAACACGTTGAAAAAAAAAAAAATAAAAAAAAAAAGATATATATGTATATGTACCTATACATATACATATCATATATTTATTTGTATATATATATATATGCAATATGCATCGTGCATATGTATATATGTAAATGTATATATAAGTATATGTGAAGGTATATGTATATATGTTTGTATAAGTATATATATATATATACATATATACAAGAAACTGATTAAAAAAAAAAGGACGTAATCGAAGGAGATGTGCTTTTGAGCCTTCAGAACAATCTAGTTTCTTTTGTCGGGCGAGGGGGGAGTGTGCGGGTACATCGTTAGCTGATTATGCTAACAATTAGAGTGAAAAACTCGGAAATTACGGTTCTATAGAGATGCGTCGATTCTGTATGAATTTAGCGTGTAGTAACGTAACCATTTTATTATAAATAGGATTAATCAACATAAAGTAAAGTAAAATTAATGACATAAAAAACAAAATAAGATAGAAGAACAAAAAAAGTTAAATCTATTGATGATTCCATTGCGTTTAATTACACATATTTGCGTTTGTTATTTTTATCTAATATGAAAAAGGAAAAGGATTTAACAAACAAACAAAGAAAATAAAAGAAAAAAGTCAACAACAGCAACAAATAAGCAAGCAAGCAAGCAATCAAGCATTTTCTTCGTTCGAACATGTATACGTTGGTGTAAGTCTTTTTTCTTCTCTCCTTTGATATTTTTGTTTTTTTTTTTGTTTTTTTTTTTTTTTTTTTTTTGGTATGAAATCGTGTTTTCATTAATAATTATGATTTATGTTTTTCAAATAATAATAATAATAATATAATGATAATAATGGATAACAAATAATGTAATAACAATGTATTTGTGAAATTCACAAAAACGACATTACGTGTTCT